CCATTGATTATTGATATTTTGGACATTCTAAGTTTTATGCTATTTGTAATTTTTTTATATTCTTTTTTGATTCTTTTTCTTTTTTTCGTGTGGGTTTGTGAGGTTCATAATGAGACATTCGACCTTGTGGATTCTCCTGGACGGCTTGTTAGTCGCTGTTGGTTGGTGTCACACGTGAAATCCAGATAAATGCAACCAACTTGAGTCACTATGTTATATGATTGGTATTGATAAATAGACATATAGGCTTTAGTAAATAACAGATAAAGGTTAAATTTGCATAGACGTATAGGTTTTATTATAGTGGGTTGTAAGTTGATTTATTGTCGTGGAAAGGAGCAAATAGCAGGAGAATTATTAATGAAAATTCCAACAAAATTAAGCTGTGGAATTGATATTAGAAAAATTTTCGGACTCTTGTTGCAGTTAAGTGCCAAAATTTTATGTCAAAAATCATCCGATGGCCTTTGTTATATCTCAAGTCAATTGTCCCTTCTTGCCCAAGTTCCTATCTGCTCTATTTGCTCTATTTTCTCTATTGCTCTATTTGCTATGAAATCTCGAGAAAATAGATTATGCAGCTCATCCTTGTTTTAATTCAGTTGAGGTTTTGTGGATAGAAATGAGATGTTATGATTGGTTTCCTAGTAGCGTATTATCTTATAATTATTATTAGAATTTTAAATATAAGAAGAGCATTTAGTTTCAAAATTGAAGTTGCTAAATAACAAATAAACTTCTTTTTACTTAGAAAGAAAGAATCCTCTTCTAAACATTATAAGATTTTTTTGAGAAAAAATTTAACCGGTCAATATATAGTAATATGGTTATGAATTTATATAGGACTATAACATATGATTAGAAGGATTTATTTTCTTAGGATTGGAAGAGAAAAAAGTTGTCAAGAGGGGAAATTAAAATTTATGACTCAGCTAAACCTCTTTGAGGATGTACTGTTTAAATCTATTAAAAAAATTTTCATAAACTTCATTGATTGAAGGAGCACAAAAAGCTATTTGGAAAGATAAATGCACTTTAAAAGAGTAATAAATAATAAATATGACTTAGACTTAAGGTATCAGTGAGTTATGTCGGTTTGAACTCAAATTATTAATGTGCTATGATCGAGATTATTGAGTCACTATGTTATATGAGCTTGAGCTTGGCACGGCACAACTTGAGAGCTCGTTGAGTTAATGCGATCAACATTAATTAAGATCTATGAACTATCCAACTGAAAATTTTCATTTTTTACTCGTCTTTGCAGTTCTATCGAAATAACTTAGCCCAAATCTGCATTTTTTTAGTCCCGAACTTCCTAGTGTGTCTCCAGCTCAACAATAGAGTCAAGCTTGTGTAACCTTGTCGAGCTTGAGCTAGACATCTTTTGGTTGTGTCAAACTGGAGCTCTAGTCAAAGCTAACTAATAACTAAATGAGTTACTCAATTAAGCCAAAATTCTAATCGTTCACACTCCTTTTTAAACTTATAGTAATAAAAAAAAGTTGTACGTTTTTTAAAAATGTTAGTGTGTAAAGAAAAATGTGTGACTTTTGAAAATTTATATAATAGAGTAGGTACTAAGGAAATAGAAAAAAGATATCTAAAATTATCAAACTAAGAGATTTTAATAAGCTTTAATGCATTAAAAAGAATGATTATAATATCTTAATTAAAGATATAGAGTGTTAACTAAATATTAAAAACTATTTAAAATAGTTCTTAAATGAGAGTTTAAGAAGTTTGCTTGGAAGTGGGGCAAATAATTCTAGCATCAAGGAGTTTTAGCATTTCAGCCCACACCACTACCTTCATGTTAGGATTTAACCTTTTTTGGCGTTTTACCATGGTTTATCATTTCTCTTCCTCGTTTCATAGCCTTTTCTTGCAAATCTTCGAATGGCCTTATTATGAATGTAAGTAACGTCGCATCTAGTCTTTGAGTACATTCCAGAATTTCTTAATTTTAAAAACGTAAGTATCACATGATGCAAACTAACAGCCGTTCATTTGGGTAGTTAGATTGAAATAATTCATCGCACAATTGTAAATAATATGAAAAAAACTTTCAACTTCAACATTTGAATGCTTTATAAACTTGAAAAATTAAAGATCAAATGTTTCTCTTGCACTCTCAGGACTTTGTAAACGTCAGCAAGGGTTCTGGTTGCTAGGAACAGTTTGCCAGAAATCTCTTGTTCTTTATCAATATCAAGTATTTTGAAATCAGTTGGGAAGGCGAGTTTGTCCACCTTCACCAAGATACCTTAATTTATCCATTATGAATGCTTCATAAAATTATTTGCCACTCATGAAGATATTTTTTGTAGGCTTTGCTTTTTCTGTGTTTTAATTTTTATGCTAAAAGAATATCAAAGTTATGTTTGTGCCACATCACACAAGAACTTGTCAAAATATGAGTTTTCAGTTGTGCACGAATTGGTGAAGTTATTTGGGTCCTTGAGTTTTGGTGGTAATTTTCTTTTGTAGAATGGTATTGCACTTTTCAGTAAGTGCGATTGTCTCATAAATTTTCTTAATCCTTTTGTTGGATTAGATGTTCTTCATAAATTTCATATAACCGGGCACACACCACAAAGCATTTATAAAAAGAATATTGATGTGGAGCTTCTTCAGAAACATCTAAAATTTTTGGGAAAAGTTTATCGTACTTATTTTTTGAAGTCTTCGTGGATATGGAATTTGTGGCACGTACGGTGAAGGATTGTCTGGTAAGAGTTAAGAATTTGGCTTCTCAACTTCTGTTCAATTTGCTCTTCTGAATTTGTTGATTTATAATCAAATTCCTTGCTTTTTGGATCTTCAAGTACTTCTCCACTTCAATTGTTTGGGAAAGTATCTTGTGCTTGTGATGAAAGTTATGATAATTAGCCAATTTAAACATTAAGATTTTGGATCAATTGAGTTTGCCTTTAAATTGCGGCGCTCTCTGGTAGCATGAATGCACGATTCTTTTCTTGCAAGATCCATTGTTCTAACACTTCTCAAAAGATAGTTTAACACTCGTCTTTGAAGTGTGGCATCAGTTCTTATCATAAACTGAGATGTAGAGAAGCGAATTTAACAAGTGTTTCTTTCAGTAAGACCACCTTATTTTGCTTGTACATGGAAACAAGAAGTTGTTGAATTGTTTTTCAGATGCACTTTCATTAAAAGGTGGTGCAATTTTGCTATCTTTGGTTATAGTTAATCTCGAAAGGATTGGTTTGCTGCTTGTTTACGTGTGAATTGTAGGATTCATTAGTAGCATGTGCTCCACGTTAGAATTCACAAATAATAGGTGTAAGAATGGCATTTGTGTAAATGAATTAAATTGCTTAAGACAACAAAAAAACTTGAGCAATCAGTGCTGAAGTTGGATCAATCTCAAATACTCCTACCATATTCTTTGGTGCAATGATTTCATTTAGCCATTGATAGTTGTTTATGATCATCTCCTCTAAAATCTCATACACTGCTGCTTGTATTTTGCTCATCAAAGTAACTCCAAAAGGGCATCAAACAATGCTTTTTTGAATTCGATCAACACATTATAAAAGGGATGAAATCCATTCACTTTGGCAAATCATGTAGCACTCTAGGGAAATGTATAATGTTTATCCTTCTATCTTAAGCAAATTTCGAGATCTCAGTTTATCGTTTTTGTAGTTTTGGTTATGTGAAAAGTACTCCAATAAAAACTTTTGGGCCAAATCGTCCCACTTTGTGATAGGGTGAGTTCAACAAACTCTTCACCTTGTCATAAAGTGAGAATGGGTCAGAGGTGAAGTGCATTTTCTGAAAATCTATTGAATTTGAAAGTATCATATATTTCCAAAAAAAATTAGCAATGTGATAATATATGGATCATTATTCAGCAATTCATTGAATTGAAAATCTTGGATTTGGTCAACTCAAATTCAAAATTTGTTGGTTTTTTGCGAAGTTACAGAATTGAGGAATTTAGAAGGCTACCGAATTGTCTCGTACAACTAAACACAATCTTTGAAAAACGTTAGAACTCACAAAAATTAGTTAATATAAAATTTAATAAATTTTCCAAATTAAAACTAGAATTAATTTCTATCAATATTAATGCGCAAAAATAAGTCCCTAATGCAACACTAATAATGCAAAAAACTCGTTGCATTATCTTAATATAAGTGCACGATGTTGCAAAAGCAATGAAGTTTACGTGCCGTGGGGATTGATTATATACTCTATTATTGAAATTGTTGTAATCCTAATTTTATTTGAAAAATAATATAAAAAAGGTCTAAGGTGAGCTCAACATGAAAAATAAAATTAATTGCAATTGATGAAAGCAAATGGAGAATCATGAAGAGATGAACTCTAGATCTTACCAACAAATTCTGTTAGATTTATACTATTTTAACTATCCCTTCTTTAATTTCAAATATTGCTAATTGATTTCAAATAATCATCCAATAAGCTTTCTCAAGCATTATGGAATATATATTGCTAGGCTGTCCTCCTCATCTTAGTGATGAATTCGATTCAGGAAAAAATGCAACATTATTAAAACGACAAATTCTACAAGAATAATACGTTGGCATCTCTATCATTCAAAAGTTTCTTTGCAACAACTCTTAATTCTAAAATAAATTTAACTTCTATAATTGTTGGTCATGCAATCACGAACATAAATAATATAATAAAATACTTCAACAAAAGTTAGGAAAATCATAAGAAATAGATGAACTAGAAAAATAAAAATTCAAGATTTTCATAATTAATTTGCTCATTGTAGCATACAAGATTTGTGATTGAGATGATTGTAAACCATCAAAGCTTATCATATAGAATTATGACCATTTATACATAGAATAAGCATGATATAAATTTTTTATGAAAATTCACATTAGAGTGATAAAATGGAGTCAAATAGATAGCGACTCTTTATCTTATGTTATCAAAAGTCATTCTTTTATTTTGATAATAGCAAATTTCTGGATCATGAAGATCATCTTAACCTGCAGTTATTCATCAATCATCAAAGTTCCCGTTGGATTTGAAGCCCTAACAAAGTTAGTTACATGGTTCTATACCGGTATACTCCCAAGAATAAATTTAGATTGCAATTGGAACAACATGGCTACAAGTCAGCAATTCCATGAATTGCAAGTTTATGTGGAACTATCTTCGCTTGCTGAATTCTGGTTGTTGAAGGAAGTTGAAGAAGAGAGCTTGAATGTAGTTCTGTTATGCTTGGAACAAAACCAGAAGCTATCAATGGAGATCATGGACTTCGCTTTAAAACTCCATCAATGGAGAATTGTGAAAGCTGCAGCCAGCAATATTGCTCATTTGTATCCAAAAATGCGTGATTTGGGCGATCTTGAGAACTTGAGTGAAGAGGCCGTGGATTTGTTGAGATCTGAATATGTCCGGCATTCTCAGAAGGGGTTTTCTTAGGATGGCTGAATTTTGTAAGGCTGTCTTTTTCAGTACATACCTGGAGCAGCAGATGTCTGTAAAACGTATTGTTTTTAGAACTCAGGGTACAAATGGCCAATGGGCGACTTGCTACTGTGCTTAATCGGGTTCACCTGCTGCAATTTAGAGATTTATTTATGTAGTATTAGGCTTGATGTTTTATATAATTTGTAAAATATTTTCTCTATTGTTTACACGGGAAAATGGGGAAATTTTTTTTTCTTATTATCTTATAAAATGTGAATTAGATTAAGGGAAAATTTGGAGGATAATTTTGTTACATTTCCTATAGAACAAAGTGTCTGATTTTTCTGATATATATATATATGTATTGTGGGCATAAGGATCTATTTTTATGCTTTTGCTACTATCCAACATTCCCGAGTGCTTTCTAGGAAAGTGCGAAAGGGGGGTTTTTGTTATTCAATCCATTTCTTCTCTTGTGAAAACTTCACATAATTAAGCGTACAGACGACATCATTTGCTTCAGTTGCATTTACTAATTTTTGCTTTTCATTTAGTTAATGACCATTTTAATTTGTTGCATGAAATTTACTTTAAGATATTTTATATGATTTTGCCTTGGTGATGATTTAATTTTTAGAATTGGAATGTAATATGTTAATAGAATTCATAGAAACTATTATGGATGTTGAATAATGATTAATGGAAAAAATAATTTCTTTACGACACTAGAGAAAAAAGCCCAAACTACAAAAACAACTTTTATTAATGGAGAAATATGATTACAACGCACACAAATTGAAAATAACATTATTAAAATATGAAAGACAAACAAACACCTCGAAAGTATAGCCCTAGGGTGGTGGAGGTTGGCTAGGTGGATCAGAATGACTAGTGGGGGTGGCGGTAGTAAAGATGGAGTGTTGTGTAGCAGATTTGGCTGTAGAACTGCAGGCTGCAGATCTGGTCAGCCGATTTGGAGGGGCTTGAAGGTGGGTTGGAGGCGGTTGGAGAAGGGTCAAAGTGGTGCTGCTGTGGAAGAAGTAGGACAATAGGGAAAAGGAAGTATTGTAAGAAAAATGCGTCCGCAGAGTCTTGATTCAACCGGAGCACCACTCGAACCCTTAAAGACAATCACTACCTTGGATGAGGGACAGTCAGAGCACTACCTTGACGTTGGATACATCCCTCGAAGGGAAAAAACAAAGGGTAAAACTTGAATTTTAAATATGACCCCAACTCCAAGCATCCCATCCCATGACCAAACCAAGCCACCATTTGACCTAGATCATAGCTAGAGCCTATTTCAATTCAAATTGAGCTAAGGAGAAGCTTCATGGGATCATAACGATCGTGCCTGTGAAACCCAATCGAGGCTACATCTCTTGGGACCAGGTATGGATCAAGAACGCTAAAATTTGCTTCGCATTTGGCCTTTCGTGGAAGAAACTAATGCACAATGCTTAATCAACCGTATAGATGTGTTCTTCTAAGTTAGATAAAGATTTAGGAACAAATCCCATAAGCTTTCATGGAGAAATGAGGGAGATCATTTGGCCTTTCGTGGAAAAACGAAACGTTGGATCATGGCTACCTCGGATGCTAGCGTGGAAAGGAGGTCAATCTAACGACGTTGTGCAAGCTTTCGACAGATCCGAGGAATGACACGATGTCGAGTAGGAGAAATAGAAAATTCAAAATTTCTGAATTAAATAAATTCATAAAATCCTCATAAACTCCAAAAAATTATATTTTCGTGTAGAAAATCACAAAAATAAAATAAAAATACATCTGAACTCAATGAATAGAGGGAAAAATAATAAAAATAAAAATAAATGTAATTAACTTATATTTAATTTTTAAATAATTAAAACATCCAAACAATGTTTTAATTATTAAAATTTAATTAAAAAGTGAAAAATTCCAAACTTTTAAGGGCATTTTCTCTCTGATATTGGGAATGATCTCTGATTTTTTCAAGATCAGAAAGAAGCTCTAACCCTAAAATGGTAAATTCTCTATCAAAATTGTATTTATTTTGAAAAATAATTACAAAAATTAAAATAAAGATCAGAAAATTGAAAATTAAAATGAAAATTAATAAGAAAAATTAAGGTAGTGAAATTAAACCCTAAATCAATACTTTTATGTTTGAAAACCCTAAAATGAAATACTAGAAAATCAAGGGTAAAAAAAATAAAAAAAAAAAAAAAAAAATTGTATTTTTGGCCCAAATTGCTCTTCAAACCAAGTTAAAACATTAATCCAGGGGTTTTATACCATGGTTAAGCTCTTAACCATGGGAACATCTCTATGACCTAAGGTTTAGCCTAGTTTGAGCTTAGGCTTAGGTTAGGTTTAAACCAACTTAAACCTAACCCGAGTGAACTAAGAATTGGACTCAATCCAATAGAAGTTAATTCTAAGCCCTAATCAAACTTGACTTAACTCATGTCCAATTTGGGTTAGAAACAACCTAACCCTATGTGTGGGTTCTAACCACTTTAGACCCAACGTAACCCTAAGTGTTGGGTCTAACCACTTTAGACCTGACCTAAACTAAAGTGTTGGGTCTAACCACCTTAGACACAACCTAACCCTAAATGTTGGGTCTAACACATATTAGACCCAACTTATACCATAAACCTAGGTTCAACCTAACTTGAACCTAACCCTATATGTTGGGTCTAACCCATATTAGACCCAACCTAAACCTAAAACGTAGGTTCAACCTAACTTGAAGCTAACCATAATTGTTGGGTCTAACCCATATTAGATCCAACCTAAATCTTAAACTTAGGCTCAACCTAACTTGGAACTAACCCTAATTGTTGGGTCTAAACCAAATTAGACCCAACCTAAATCTTAAACCTAGGTTCAACCTAACTTAAACATAACCCTACATATTAGAACCAACCTAAACCTTAAACCTAGGTTCAACCTAACTTGAACCTAACCCTAATTGTTTAGTCTAACCCATATTAGACCAAACCTAAACCTTAAATCTAGGTTCAACCTGAATTGAACCTAACCCTAAATGTTTGTTTTAACCCATATTAAACCCAATTTAAACTTTAATTCTAGGGTCATCCCAAATTGAACATAACCCTAAATATTTAGGTTCAACCCAAATTGAACCTAACCCAAAATCATTAGGTTCAACCCAAATTGAACCTAACCCTAAACCCTCGGGTTCAACCCAAATTGAACATAACCCTAAATGTTGGGTCTAACCCATATTAGACCTAACTTAACCCTAAATATTTAGTTTCATTCTAAATTGAACCTAACCCTAAAACCCTAGCTCCTGCCCAAATTAGACTTAGCCAACCCTTTTAGGTTCAACCTATATTTATCCTTAACCCTTAGTTGGGAATCAGAAGGAACGAAAGAGTAATAGTAATTCTTAAGAGCATTTCGTAAAGAAAACAAACAAACAATGTGAGCAACAAAGATATCTATTTGCTTGCCCCTCACAAAAAAAAATCAACAGTTCCGTCAGGTAGGTTATCATAAAATTCCCAAACCATAGGAACCACTATCACACATGTTGTGTAGCAGAAAGTCTCCCATTTTTGGCTCATAATCATGCTTTCCATAGCTCCTCTTGGCCTAATAAATCCCCTCTCAGCAATCAATTTCTTTGATACCAATTGTTCGTTGTAACGCTTCTAAGATTTGGAGCTTACAAACTTCTTTCTATTGAATGTAGCCATGGGTTTAATTTTAGTTTTTGAGAGCCATGGAAGAAAGAAAACAGAAGAATTTCTTAAGAATGAAGTAGATCTTTAGGGTGGATGAACTTAATATGCAAGTTATGAGCTAAGAAAAGTATTCTTAAAAAATCTTCAAATTTTTTAAAATCTAAAAAAATTTCGCTATAAGAAGAAAAAATCCAACTTAGGAAGTGGAGTTTACCTCAAAGAAGTGATTTCTACCTTCCAAAGCTGCGCAAATCAAGCTCAAATCCAAGATTGAAGAAAACCTTAGGTGTTGCCCCTCTAAGTCGAATGAGAGCTAGGGCGGAAGAATTGCAAAAATGCCCTAGACCGACCAGTTTAGGTGATTTATCGCCCAGGAAGGAGTGGGGCCTAGGTGCCGCAATTGTGGTGCCATGGTCTTGCTCCTTTTGTTTGGGGCCTTGGCGCCAGTTCAACTTAAAGCCTTTTGACGCTAGAGCCTTTTGCTTTAATGTGTAAGCCCTAGATTTGGTTCCGATCATATAATTCAAATTATTTTTTCCTCCCCAATTATTAATTCACACAAAACAAGTTCAAAAAAAAAAAAAAATCCTAGATGGATGATAAATGATGATTACTAATGCTCCTTCTCATCACGTATCCCTACCTTAGTTCCAATATCTAACTGAATCTCTACATTGTTATGTTAGGTGCATTTCAAAACTTTTGTAGGGCTGACACCATGGACAAGATTACCCCTATTTTATTGGCTCAAGTGTTGCCAACCTCAGGTATCACCTCATCTGTAATGTATGCATACTCTTTCTGGAAATAGATTGTGTGTGGTCGTCCTTATATTAATCATCAAGCAAGTTTATGGAACCTACTTAATGAACACAAGGTTAGATAAAGGAAGTAACAGAATTGAGATGGACCCATCCTAAGGCTAAATTCAACATCTCTAGATAGACTTATGCCGATTAAGAACTATGATGTAGAGGATAACATTGATCCTACTACCTCTAACATCCAAGCTAAAATCTAGTCATAACGAGAAGACTAAGGATTCACTATCTCACATCACACACGCAAACACAAACACAAACATAAACCTAAAATGTAAATCATAGTAAACTACAAAACAACTCAGAAACACAATCACACAACAAAACATGAGTTGCCTCTCAAGAAGCGCTTTGCTTAATGTCATCAGCCCGCTGTTTTCAGATAGTATTTGAGATAATCCAACATCAAAATCTCATTCAAAAGCGCTCTTTCCCCTTCTAAGTAAGGTTTATGTTTTTGTCAGTTTACTTTAAATTCTCTCCCATTTTTAGGATCTTTTATATCGATGACTCCACAAGGATAATTTTTTACTACGGTAAGTGGTCCTAATCACCTGGACTTAAATTTTCCTGAAAATAATTTTAATTGAGAATTAAATAGCAAAACCTTTTGTCCAGGCTCATAATCCTTCTTAAGAATCTTTCGATCATGCCACTTATTTATTTTGTTTTTATAGATCCAGTCATTTTGATAAGATTCTTGTCTAATTTCTTCAAGTTACTTAATTATAGTAGTTTATTCTCACCAGCTTCTTTCATATTATAATTAAATTCTTTTATCGCCCAATAAGCTTTATGAAAATGAAGGCGAACAGATCTCATATATTTAATATTTTAAATAATCG